TTTCAACAGCATAAAAAACAATGTAATTTTGTGATTGGAAATAGGCCTACGTTTTCTTTAAAAAAACAATAAAAATTAAATCAGTTTTATACAATATTTACAATATTCTTGCCAAATAAAAACAGTCCCTCCCTCATCTATTACAAAAAAGCAGTTGTTCCGATTAAAAAAAATAATAATAAATAAATATAAAGGCCCGTCCTATTCACTTAAAAAAAATAGTGATCTAATAATTTTTCCTATGTGCCCTAAATTGTCTATATTGGGACACAGTGATAAACTATAAATATCTATACTATTTTTTTTCATTGTGTCCAATGTTGCCGAATTGGCTATTTTGGGACACAGTGATGAAGTACAACTGTCTTCTTTAATATTTTCTAAGTTAATCCTTTTCTTTTTCATTGTGTTCAATGGCTTTTAAGAGCACATAGAAAAAATTATTAGATTATCACTCTTTAAAAAAAACGATGAGGGAGGGCGGTTTTTTGTTATTTTTTTTGTTTTTGTTTTTTTAATCAGAACAATTCGTTATTTCGCTTTTGTTTTTATTGATGAGGGGGAGGGACTGTTTATATTTGGCAAGTAATAGTAAATATTGTGTGGGACACAGTGATAAACTGTAAATATTTTGTTATTATTTTTCAAGATAATCCTGTTTTTTTTCATTGTGTCCAATGGTTGCCAAATTGGCTATAGTGGGACACAGTGATAAAGTACAACTGTCTTCTTCAATATTAATTAATACAAACCGTTTATGAGATTTTGTAATGGACTGCTTTTTACTTTTAGACGACTTAATGTTTCCCATTGTGTATTTCTTCTTACAAAAGCTTTCTTATCAAAGTACCGATCGGACGGATATGTTACCAAAAAAGAAGAAACTCTCACTTTTATCTTTTTGATCATCGACACTGCTTTAATTTGATTCGCTAATATGTTTAGTAGTTCTTCCCATTATGGGCTCCCTAGCTTCCAAAAATGTTTCCGGAAGTCATAGTCTCGTTTGGTCCAGGAATATTGTGTTTTTTCCACATTGTTGAAAATTAATAAAATTCTGAAATTCTCCAATTGCAGATAACATGGTAAAGTAAATTTATGTATAAGGATTGCTTTGTAACATTTTAATGTATTCCAATGTAATTCTATGTAAATTTCATCATATTATTTATTTTAGCTCTGGAGTTGGAACATGACCGAAGTCCGTTTTTGGTATACCAAAAATATATTCTGGAGTTTCATGTAAATGTTTCGTACGGAAAAAAAAATCGCGATCTGACTCGCGTGTATTAAGAATAGCAGTTGACTCTAGCAGTACTGTTGGTACTGTCAAAGATACTAGAAATACAAGATAGAGTTCTCGCATTGTAAAATTGAGGCGGAAGTCGTGCCCAACGTAGGCGGCGCCCTTCTTTTTAACCATGCAAGTTTCCTATACTTCGTGCCCAACGTACAGGGC